GGCTGTTCCTCTCTAGTCTTCTACAACAAATTATAATATAGGCACTTTCAGTCATTAAGAACTTACCATGTCGGAATCTTAAATTCTGTTTTCTGAAAAACTTCTACCTGCCACTTTCAATCCACCATCCATGCTGCCCTACTCTTCTGTGATCCTCACAATTCTGACAGGTTAATAGGCTTCCTTCTTCCCTGGATTCCAGTGGATTCTGGAAATAGAGGATCAACAGGAGATCAGAAAGAGCATGAAGAAAGAATTCAGGGAACTTGTTCCACCTGCCCCCTGCATTCTGAGCTGCTGTGGACTATAAAAAGGTCCTTTTAATATAGGTATTCATTTTTGTTTCCACCTACGCCTTCATGGTGAGGTTTAGGTAAAGTACTCTGATGTTGTTTTCCTTTGTGAATTATATTATTTCTATGGTTGCCATACATCCTGTGCTCACAAACATTTATTAAATATTTCTGTAATTACCCAGTGTTACACTTCTATATGTTTCCTTTCAGTATATAATTATCTTAGCCTTCTTATATACCTATTCTTCAAATATACTTAATTTCAAATCCCAACTGTTTATCTGACAAAATATAGATGTTTTTGAAATTTCCTCTTATAAAAATCTAACCTAGATTTTCTGGCCTTTTCATTTTTCTTTTGTCTTGCAAAATCCTAGCCTTGAAACAATCCAGTTATGTAAATAAGTTACTTCTATATTATAGCATCTTAATGTCACTGGATAAAATCTGACAGTTATATGGATTTGTATCTGTCTTGTTAATTTTCCTCATGTCTGGGACAAAATAACTGACACATTTAATTTAAAGGACATGAGGTTTATTTTGGTTTGTGGTTCAGAAGTTTCAGTCTGTATCAGAGGGTTTAAATACACAGACAAAAGCTGGTCACATCACAGTAGCCAGTAAGCAGAAAGCTAAAGGAGGAGCCTCTGGGGGAGCTGTGTCCTTCCAGGTCAAGCCTCCATCGACCTGCCTCTTCTGAATAGACCCTCATCTTGCAGCAGCACACTCAGCCCTTACCAGTGGGTGAATGAATCCACAGATGGGCTAGTATCGCCTTGATTCAACCATCTCCCCAAATCCCTGCCTCTAGGCCCATGAGAATTTTGGGGGACATTCTAATTCTAAACAATAACTAAAAATTCATAGTCCTGTATCTGTTAGGCTTTCAGTGGCTGCCCATTTATGCCTATCTTAGCAGTTAGGAACTCAAACAATGTTCTTGATATTTTTCTCTTACTCTCAGAAGGTAATCTAGTCTCTTTAGTTTGTGAGAGGAACCAAAATTCAGTTAGCTATTCCCTAACTTGTTCCTTGAATGGAATTACCTCTTTTCTTGCTTTTGTATGTATAAAGAAGATTTAATGGTAAGCAGCAGAAAATCTAACCCAAAGTCACCTAAGAAAAAATTCTTCATTATCTTAAGTATTTGGAAAACTCAAGAGTAGGGTTGACTTATGTAAACCAGGAGCTCCTTTCATTTCACCTGAAGCTGGTTCTACTGATCTCTTCCATTTGCTATTTTCCCTATTTAGATATTGTTGAATGGCTTTTCTTACATAGAAACAGATGTCTATATGTGCTTCAGATATCACTTCTACTCATGTTCATATCTAAACATAACAGATCCCCTTTTACTGTTGCATACATTCAAGAAAAAGTTCTGGTCTTCTCTAATTAGTTTGAACTGGGGTAACTACCTATTCCTATACCAATCAACTCAGAGCTTATGCTGATGGTTTTACATAAATCAGTATTTGATTATGAATTTGAAGATTTGTTAAGGGGTCTATGAGGTTTGTTTTATAAATTTTTCAATATTGTATTTAGTTGGCTTGTTACTAAACAATGAAATACAAAGTCTCAGGTTCAGTCACAAGGAATGGGTTGGAGACTCTATTTGTAAAACAGTGTGAATTAAGTCTTTCCCTTTCTGAGGTCAGAACCAGTATGAAAGCCAAGAGCATATGATTCTTGGTTCCATGAACTACCACAGATAGACTCGTATTACAGGTTACCTAGAGCCCCTGGTTCTTCTTAGCTAGTTTCCCTATATTTCTCTACTATATTCACCAGAAAGGGACAATATAAACATTTGTCCAAAAAAAAAAAGTAGTAATTTTGTATCTGAAGTATTTTCTAGAAAAAAATATGTTTAGGTAGAGAAATTACACTAAAAGAAATCCCACTGAATGTTATTATTAAACTTCTTACTCCCATTAGTACTTTTTGTCCCTAGCTAATTAGTAAGACAATGCAAAGAGATATTATAATCAAGGCAAAGTATAATCTATTTTCTGTGGCACTGTTTAGCTGTACTCTATTTCATGTGTAGCATTCCTGAAAATTCAATCAAAAAGTTGAATGAATCTTCATGCTTCATTTCATCCTTTTATACAATAATACATTTATATTGGCAAAGAGAGTAGAAATCAACAGTGTTATTCCTCCGTATTTTAACAATGGACAGGAGAACTTCAACGGAAATGTGTAGTTCTCTTGTATTCCTGTGTAAAGCCTGAACAAAAATAGGCATCTTATTCTAATCAAGCTCAGAGGTTCTTCTATAGTATTAGAGGCCTGAGATACTTTGTGTACTGCATAGGAATGGTTCTTTAAAACTTTCTTTCAAATATTATTGTCAAGACCATGGAGTTCACTATATTTTTTACTTCCTCCTCCCACTTCAATTCACGTGAAATCAATAAGGAGTATATAATATGTCCACGTGTTTTCTTGGTAGAGAAAAACTTAATTATAAAATCTTACATATTTTTCCATTTATGCATGAATTTGCTTGGCTCCCTGTACGAAAATGAAGAAAGAGATAGTGAAACTCTTATTGATTCATTTTACATTTTCCCACAAGGCATAAATAGAAAATCGTTTTTTTTTTAAATGGTTAGATCATTAGTTTATTTAATTTATATATTTCCTTTCTCTTATGAATAAGACTATCTACATTTCTAATTAGAAAAACATGACTGGTTGGAATATGTGACTTGGGACCAGATCTTGGACTTGAATGTTAGCTTTGCCCATACTATGAAATCCTAAACTATTTTACCGTTTTGGAGTTTGATTTCCTTAACAAAAAACTTGGAAGGTGAATGTTATTAGCTCTCTGATTTATTATGTATAGCTAATAAATAAAATAATTATGCAGATTAATTTACTAACTCAGATCATCAGTATAATTCTTCAAAATCTGATGTATAAAAGCATTAACATTTTTTTCTTCAGCTTTCTGTCCTATATATATAGTATAAATATATAGTAGATAGTATGGTATATAGTGTATGTATATATATATATATATATATATATATACACATACAGTATATATATAGTTTAAATATATGGGCATAAATACATGTGTCATAGATATATGTGGCACATATATAATAATGGCACTAGGAATATATATGATAGTAGGTGTGTTAACATTTCCAGTGCTCAGGGAAAGAAAAAGAAAATTGTTTAGAAATTATAATTTTTATTTAAAAAGGATACTTTATTCCTTCTTCAATACAGAAACGATTTTATAAGTAGTAACAACAAACATGAGGGCATGCCTTTAATCCTAGCACTTGGGAGGCTGAGGCAGGAGCATTGTCATGAGTTTGAGGATAGCCTGAATTAGAATGAGACCCTGTCTCAAAATAACTAACTAAATAAAAAGTAGCAAGGTTATAGCTCAATCTGCAAACTCTTACCTCATGTTGATCTCATTTTTGGGTCAAATGAAAAATATAAATCTGAATTAGTTTCAGGCTTACCTTTCATAATATGAAGAAAATGTACCATTTTATAGTGTAGTTTTCTGGTAAGTGACATTATTTAGGCAATAAGACAAGAACTATGATAAAAATATGATAGGCTGGAAGTATCAGACTTTCTCACTTGCCAAAATAATCAGTCACCTCAGAGATGTGTCTTTGTACACCTATTTTAAACAAAGCTCCGTTTATTTACAATCTTTATGGAAACGATTATTAACTGAATTCCTGGAGTGAACAGCTTGTTTTGTGGCAAGAAAAAACAGATTTCCCCCTTCTTTTTCAATCAAATACTAAATTTTCTTATTTGCAAGATTTAAAAAATTTCCTTTTTAAAGTAGTCCTTGGTACCTGTGAATCAATAACTATTCAGATTAATTTGCATTATCCATTTTCCTTTTTTGTTATCTCAAGCTTGGCTTAGTCATTACAGAGATGTTGCTATCACTGTCCTACCAGCTGCGGTGATTTGCATCAATTGACACCCAAGCTGCCAGCTCTACTTCACAGACTACAGCTGCTACTGTTAACACCTGTATCCAAAACTATCTGTGATGTAACTTTTATAGAAGACCCATTTCTCCAACCCCAGATTCCCCCTTATATAAAACACTTTAAAAATGAAGTATATAGTACAATAATACCTCAATTCATTAACTCTTCTGTTTGCAAACAATTCTGTTCGCAAACCAAAGGATTCAGCAAAATTTTGCTTCTATTTGCAGACTCTGTTTTGGGTGCAAACACAACTACAGCAATCTTCCCCGCATAAACACAAATTCAGCCATCTTCCCCAACATCATAAGGGAAATTAAGGTCATAAACAGAAGCACCACTGTATGTGCATATACAATATAATGTAATATGAATGTATATGTATAAGTAAGCTACATGTGTATGTATATATAAACTATTAGTACTGGGCATTGAAAGATTGTAATTAGAATCAAGGCTTCATGTGGGAGAAGTTCAAGCCTGGCTGGGCCAGGTGGCTGCACTCCTGTCTCCTGACCTAACTCGCCTCAGTGAGTAGATGCTGCGTTAATAGAATAAACCTCCGCCCCTAGTCCGTGACTCCTTCGCCTCACTCAAGAAAAAAATTACTCCGCCATATCTGGCCAATGAGATATCGCCAAAGGTTAAATGTTCCTCCCATGCTCCTCCCCCCCACCCGTTCCCTATATAAGCCTGTGCATTTCCTGAAAGCAGCAGAAGCATTCCAGAAGCGTCGTACTTCCTTCTGGTCTTAGCTCCCCAACCTCTCTTTGTGAGCGGGCTCACAGACAACAGCTGGCACTCAAATGTGGGACTCCCATATACTGGATAAGTATTGAAGCTGCAGGTAAGGATCTCTATTATGGGTAATCTGTTAAGTCAAGAATGGCCGGCACAGGCCACTTTAATAAAGGGTCTTTGTGCCATAAAGGCATCCGAGGTGTTTTCAGCCCAAACTCAGCTGAGTGTAGGGCCCCCCGAAGTCTCTAGAAATGGCGGACAAAAACCTCTTAAGAAAGATGGCGCAGGAATGCTGTCTCCTCCGCTGTTCTTCTTCCCCAAAGGCATCAGCGCCGCCCTCTGGTCTCTCACTTGTAGTTGATGTATCTGGAAAAGCCCACCTTTTCTGGTCCAAAATGGTGGCCTTCACCCTGTGCGCCGCCATTTTACCAGTCCCGTGGATCTTCTGATGGCCTGTGGTGGGCGGGTAGAGTCTCGGCTGGGGCGGTGGCAGGTGCAGGTGCAGCTGCTCCAGGTTTGAGGCAAGCGATGGCCGCAGTGGGCCAGCCAGTGCACAGGAAGGTGGTAGGGGGCAGCAGGTGGAGGTTCAGGTCGCCCAGGGCATCCTCACTGTCCAGGTCCAGACGGCCGGCCAGGGCGCTTACAGTAAGCTTCCTGGGACCTACAGAACCTTAGCTCCTCTAGAATTTGAGATCCTAGGATCTGGAGCGATGGCCTCGAGAGAGGCACCTCATCTGCGTTCATCACTCTGGCGCCTCCATGCTGCAACGTGGCTGTGACCCAGAAAGTGTGGCAGGTGTCTGGGGAGGCCTGGCATGGCTGTTCCTGGAGCCCTCCCTCTGAAGGCCCTCGGGGCTGGCGCAGCTGGGAGACCCTGGACCCCTCCTGGCAGGGCTGCAGCCGAAGTCCCCACTGCACCTACTCTATGCAGCCCTCGCTGCGAATTCAATATGGGCTGGCCCTCCTCCCTCCCCAAATCCACAATAGACATGATTTGGAAATCTCTGCCATTGCCTCCAACCAATTGACAAAAAATACCACACAGGCCTTCGGACAAGCCACCCTACTGTTTCAAGATGTCCGTGCTGCCATTTTAAATTTACAAACCCAGATAAATCCTGTCTGGGAAAAAAATTCAATGGTTAGAGACTAAAATTCTAAGCCATTGTCATGCAAATTTCACCCATATTTGTGTTATTCCCTTTCGTTGTCAACATTGTAATGATTATAAAAATCTCTCAAATTGTATATGAAAAACCTGGGATCCCACATCAATCAACATTTACAAACCTTGACTCATATTGTTCAGTGAAATGATACACAAGCTCTTGATGTTGTTACTCTTAATATACAAGAGATAATTTGGTCTGGCATTCAAGCTGGGTGGAGAAACCTAAGTTCCTTTGCTAAAGGATTGATATTGTCATTACCCTATATGTTGACCCTGCTTAAAATTATTTTACTGCTCTTCATCTTAAAAATCAGATGTCTAGTCCCTAAAAGCTATAAACAAACTCATAAAAATGTGGTTCTCTTGGCCAAGGCTCTGGAGTCAAAGACGAAAGGGGGAATTGTGGGAGAAGTTCAAGCCTGGCTGGGCCAGGTGTGCCACACTGCTGTCTCCTGAGGTAACTCACCTAAGTGCATAGATGCTGGGTCCAACAGGCTATACACCTCCACCCCTAGTCTGTGACTCCTTCACCTCACCCAGGAAAAATCCGCCTTGTCTGGACAATAAGATATTGCCACACATTAAATGTTCCTCCCATGTTCCTCCCCCGTGGTTCGCTATATAAGCCTGTGCATTTCCTGAATAAAGCAGATGCATTCCAGAAACCTCTCTGGTCTGCCTGGTGACTCCACACCTTGCTCTCCTAGTCCGAGCTCCCGAACCTTGTTCCATGAGCAGGCTTGCAGACAACCACAGCTTCATCACTTTCTGGTTATGGCCCTGTGGCAAGTGACTCATTACTTACCATAAATATTTTCAACCTTAAACTAAACTTTAAAATTCAACTTCCAGCCTAACAAGAGAGACCTCATAAGTCTTCCTATAAGGTATAAAGTATATGTAAGTCCTCTCTATCAGTTATTGATGCTGAGTTAATTTTAAAATGGTGACCAGCTTTGTTATTCAAGGTACATTCACATATCCCTCTGCCCATTTACCAGAATGGTTGTGGGTTGGGGAGCAGATGACAAGATGTGCCAAGAGGGAGGATGGGAAAGTGGTTGGAAAAAGTTAATCATTGGAAAGTGTATGAAGGTGGAAAAATTCGAGGGTACTCTTGGTCAGTTGGAATGCCATCAGGTTCAGACACACCTTTGGGGGAATACCTTACATGTCTCACTCTGTTTTAGGCTCTGCTGATATGTGAGCAAAACAGACAAGATTCCTATTTGGAGATCATCCAATTTAAATAAATTTAAACATCCATAGTGCAGCTAAAGACTTGAGAAATTTTTTGTTGTGTTTTAATGAACAACAGAAAGACAAGTTCTATGTATAGGAAAAAAAAAAAAAGAGGAGGAAGGGATTTAACCCTAAACAAGTCAAGTTCAGTACAATTCCTTAAGATGGAAATGCTGGCGGAAGGATGATAAATGAAGGAGAAAGAAGAGATAATCAAAGCCTACAGTATGCATGGGAAAGGTGCTGCAGGGCCTATGAGACAGCACTGGCTGGAATCCATGCTTGGTTTTTGCAGGATTTGCAAGAGTGGAGGTTCATGACTGCCACTTCTTCGTGACTGTTCATCATCACAGAAGCAACAAAACGGAGATACACAACAGAATATTCCTGTACACATAGTGAAGAATTCATACCTGGAACCTGACTGTGAGGTGTAAGTAATATCACTTCCTAAATTATCAGTGTTTATCTGGCTGGAATTTTAGGACTTGTACATTTGAGGAGTCAAAGTCGTCTCATAACCTGACATAATGTTGCTCTGGAAATACTGCTATCACAACCATACTCTGTAATAAAATTGGAATTGACAAGAGAAGCCTCATGGTATCTTGTATTTTTTGTGAAAAGATATCTTGTGTTAGCATAGTAAAATATAACTTGTATATAAGGACCAATTTTAACACATTCTTAAGCCCAGTTTTCTGTGACATTAATTCAATTAACTATATTAAGTCCAGGAGCTGGAGCATGGAGGCAATAGATGCAAAAGGAAAAGGGGCATAATTAAACATCCATATGTAGAAGTCTACTTATCTTTATCCTTTCCCAAATGCATTGATGGAATTGTTGGTTATGGGTTTATGCTATGGAAGGCTCTTCTCTCTAAAGAAGTAAAACATGGTAGGCAGAAAGAAAGCTTATAGTATGGGAACTGGAATTTCTGAGCAAAGTCTTCTAAATACCAGAATTTGAAAATGAACCAAAGAAACCATCATAACTCTAACTCATCTGAAAGTAATGTCTAAAACTCCAGAAAGGTCATATATCTGCTGATCAGTAGTAGTTTTTTGTACTTGCCCTGTTATTGTTTTCTTCATCTTTTTATACCTTATCAGCTTTTAATTGAACATACTGAATAACAGCAGTTTTGTTCTCTTCACATATCAGTTATTTTTAAAAATGTTTGTTATTCTGGAATTTAAGATACACATTTTAAAGAATCTAAGTACACTTTCAAGTGACACCATATTGCTTAACATATAGTACAAAATACTTGAGTATTCCTAATTCCTAGCTGTCTTCTCTTAGAACATTGTTGCCTAGTCACATGAACATCTAGTACTGTACATTGCTAGTACTATTGGTTTACACAGAATATTGTTCAATTAAGGATAAGAGAAAAATATATTTTAGCTTATGCTCATTTACTTTTTTATCTTTATGTTCCTGACCTATATAAAAGACTGTGACATCTACAGCCTTTGCTGATTTTCATCTTCCTGGAAACTGCACACTATTCTTTAAAGTATATCTTCACATTTTTACTATTGTATCTTGCATTGTTCATTGTTTTATGGTGTAAGTCATGATCCTCCCATGCAGTTATAAGCTTAGTAAGGCAGTACTACTAGGACATTTTTCCCACATAGTGCTTGTCACAGAATGGAGACCATAAGAGACTGAATTAACATTGACTATAGACCAGTAGAAAAGTCCAGGTGTTTCATGTAGGAGTAGGCTTACTCTTATTTCTGCCATTTGGATAGGGAATATTTTTTGAAAGAGTTCTTCCAAAGACTTCATCTCTCTTATCAGTACTTTATTCCACTTTGCGGATGTTTTGTATTTGTTGCTATTATTTTAATGAACATGGTTTATATTCTGTTTTGGTAGTTACAAGGAAGTATATACTAGGGAAGACATAGGGAAAATGATACAATTTTAATCATCATCCCTTGATACTCAAGGACCTATAACCAGTTTATATATTCCTGCCCATAATTTATAATCAGGAGTGAAAAACTTCAGTCAACTTTCATATTTTACATCTATTCCCTTAAACATTCATTTTTATGTAATTTTCATGTAAGTTTGTAGAATACAAGTTTGGTGGCATTTGCAGGAGATTGTTTTGATCTCAACTGCAGTTGCTCTTTTCGTTGCTGTCCTAAAAATTATCAGCAAAGGTTACATACCATTTTTGCTTCACACTGCTGTGTTGTTTACTTATTGGGGCACTAAGTATTAATTGCTTATTATTTCTTTTTCATTTATTGCTATGAGGAATGAATAATATAATGTTCATAGTTTCTTTATCATTTAATGACACTTGTTAAAGTATCTTAGCTCTAGCAGCAAATTCTGAAATATTTTTTGAGATGAGCAGTAAAATTACTGGTTGCATTTCTGTCCCAAATTTTAAATATTATCTTTGCATTGGTATCTTTTCCTCATCATGATGCCATCTTTGAATTTTAGTTGGAGTTATGCTGGCTCGTCTTTATTTCTTTTTCATGATTTTTTTTTATCTTTGTTACTTAGAGATGCTGCAATCATACATTTACTTCCTTAACTTTGTAGTATTAGCTTCCTATCTCCATCTCTTCAATTGTATTGAAGGGATTTCAACAAACCAGTACCTGATACAATGCCTTGCTGTCCTGCACTGTCCTGTTTGCCTAAATTCACCCATTGCTCTCTCTACTTGGATTTCCTATGTACCATTTTACTTATACTTTTTATTTAAGAGGTTCTTTGATGTGGAATATCAGTCATATTAAGGATGTATAGTTTGTTTTTTTTTTATTAAAGGGCAAGGGCATTTCACCATTATAGCTAATTATACAGAAACCATTAAATTTTAGGTTGCTTTCTTTCAGTATCTCAGAAGGAAATAGAAATTAACATTTTTAAATACTTGAATAAATGGGACACATTCAAATACTAACTCTGCCATTAACTTTGTATCCTGGCCTCTATGAGCTTTATTATTTGCATCTGTAGAAATATAGGAGGAGGGTGGTTTAGAGTATTGTAATCTGTAAAATCTCTTATACAATTTAATTTTGCATCTCCTAAGCACCCACTCTAATTGCATCACTCCACACAATTGTAGAGCACTTAGGCATTTACAAAATAATATATTCTGTTAAAAATTAAATCTTTAAAATAATCTCATAAAAGTCAAGGTATCCATTATACAGACAATAAAACTGAAGTCCGCAGTTCACATAGGTGCTAAGTCTAAAAACAGAATACAATCTTGTGAAGTAGAGAAAAAAATACTTGGTTCAAAGTCAGAATCTGAGGCTAATTGTTTCCTAAAAAATATCTCCCCTTAAACGTAATCAGTGACCCTTATTTTCATGGCTTCCAAATAGAGAGGAAAATATAATCAGTCATCCTAACTCCCTATGACAGTTTGACACTTCTTTAGTTAAATCTTTTGCCATTTTGCTTATGACAGGAAACAGGGCCAGGCTGTGCTGACATTGAAGGCTCTGTCTCCAGGAATAATCTAGTTACTTCCCTCTAGACTGAGTGATTTGTCTTCTGGATTTTCTGCCACAGGTATGCCTTCTTGTATTTTGTCTATTGTCACCATGTATTCTAATTTTTCTTTGGGTGTTATTGGCACAGTAGGCATTGTGGTTTGCTTTATAGTAGTTTCCCTATCCTGGAGCTGAAATAACATAAATTGTGAGTAAAGATAAATTGCTCTTGCACAAGGATCATTAATGTATGGTGTGGGTGTTTGGAAAATAAATAGCACAAGTTAAATGTGACTAATACCATGAAGTGAGAAGAATGTGGCATTCTGACACCAGACTGATAGACTTCCCTCTCCACTGTTTGTATGATCTTGGGGATTTATTTAATCTGTCTGTACTTCAGTGAAATGGGAATGATAATGTTATTAGCTCAGAAAGTTATAAGGATTGAGGTGATAAATATATGTAAGTTGATTATAACATTGCCTAGTGCATTTAAGGTGCTGAATAAATGTCTGCTATTATTGAAACAAAAACAGACCACATTTATGGTGATTTTCTGTGTCAGACATTGAGGTCAATGATTTGGATTATCTTATTTAATTTTCACTATGACCTCTTGAAATAGGGACTATTTTTATCACAATTTTTATAGAAGAGAAAAATAGAAATTGAATAACTATCCACAAAGTCACACAGCCAAAAAGTGACATCTCTTTTAGGATAATGCCCTCAGCTTCTAGAAATGGTCATGTTGTGCTAGAAGTATTTCAGAGAAAGGGAACATAGAGAGAACTTTATTCCAACTAACCTTTAAACTCTTATGAGAGTCTCTTTTAAATCATAAAATTTGTCTTGCAAATACATAGTTGATAATATTGGTATTATCTTACTATTAAGATATATAAATCAATCATTATATTAATTTACATTAATTTCAGATATATTAATTTATATTAATTTCAGAATATTAACTTTCAATGGCCAGTTTTTTTGGAAGTTGCAAATGTGCTTTAATTATAAATGCATAGAATCAAAAATATTTAGTACTGATGATGTCTGATTTTAAGTTTAAAATAAGCATAATTACAAAAAACATACTGTCATTTGTTTAGTACAGCTACCTGGAGTAAATTTGGCTTGCAGAGTTTGAATGATTCAGCTATCTATACTGATTCTTACCATCCTGCGCTACGTATTACAATCACCAGGTATTCCTAATCACCAAGGATTTTGTTGTATTCACATCTCTATAAGCCTAATATTTCCATGACTCGTTTTAAGCAATTAAGCTGGTCCATTGAGAACATAGATGACAGACTTTCAGGGAGATGTAATGTTATAGAGAGCACAAGCTTAAATAACTTAGATCCATGTTCTAAATGAAATATCCTTGAGAAAGCTACCTAAAATCTCTAAATTTCTTTTCTGATTTATGAAAAGTAGGGTTGTACTTTATAATGCTCCAGTAAAATCCATCCTATTACAAAAGGTCTATTTAACAAATCAGGAATTGGTATAATTTCATGTGTACTAACCAGGGTTCTTCAGATAAAGAGAAGGAATGGGCTATCTGTCTATTATCTATCTATTTATCTGTCATATTTCATCTATCTGCCTGCTACTTACCTGGTTGAAATTTGTAGAGCTGCATAGAAGTGGAAATTCAGGAAGAGATGGTGTTGCATTCATGAGCCTGAAGATAGGTCAGTACTCTGAGAACCAAGGCAATATTTTTATGTTATAAGCTTGAAGTGGAATTGCTGATCCTTTGAGGTATCTCAGTCTTGCTCGTAAGGCCTTGAACCATTCGATAAGGTCCACTCATATTGTGGAATATAATTTTCTTAAAGTCAACTGATTATGACTATTAATCACATTCACAACTATATTCACATCTACATTCACCGTAACACCTCAACTAGGCTTTGACAAAATGAGTGGAATGGCCTACCCTAGACAAGGTTACTCACGACAGAACTTGTTTATTTGTGGTGTTAAGACCACTACTACACCAAGTGTTCTAATTGTGTTTTTTTAAGGATGCCTTAAACACATTTCACTGTCAACTTAGATGAGAGAATTGTTAGTGGAAGGTGAATCACAGGCACAGTCACGATATTTGGTTCTGGAATTTCCTATGCTGATGGAATCAATCTTCTGTAAGTTGACAACAAACATAGTAGAGGGACAGACAGCTTAGAAGTAAGATGCAAAGCATACCTTGCTTCTTTCAGAGGTCTTTCTGCTGAGTCTGCTACCTCAGCTCAAGCCAGATTCACTTTATGGATCAAAATATTCGTCCTATAAAATTATCCTTATTTACTGACTGATAAGAGGATATCTCTTAAATCAGCACCTAATACTCCACTATTGTGCTAGAATGATGAAGAGACCGTCTTTCATGGCTTCTGTGGCTGGCTTGTTTCTCAGGAAATACTGAATGCTGTGCAGGTGTCAGACCTTATCAGTTATTTATTAAAGCCACATCTGAGATCGTTATTTTGGAGGGAAATGTTGGAGCTATCCATTCTATTTCTTATGCAGAAATTTAAAATGTACCTCCAAGGAAGATAAATGCAGTACTGCATTTTTGAAATGCGAGCCTAATAGAGTGCCATATGTAAGCTGTCATGAGTATTCATCCCACGCACTCAGTGGGTAGATGCCAAGTCTTTGAGACTATGTTATCTTTGAAAGAAAACAAAATAAATATGTATTGGCTACCCAGTCCCTACTGAAAAATGTGTATATGTACAGTTAACTCTTAGTATCTCAGGTGTTCTATTGAGAATGAAGATAGTCTGGGTTGTTGAGGTTTGATTCAGCACCACTGGATAATGTTATTTTTCTCATAGTAAGTTCTACAAACAGATTACTGTAGGAAAATGGGGTCTTCTGGGTGTTTTTTTTAAACCTTTAAAAATAAAAACCTGAAACAGAGTTCAGACACTGGTATATGAACATTGGTCTGTCCATGTGGGTTCTTTCTGTACGAAGACCTTTCTGGAAATTATGCCGCTGATGATTGAGTGAAAATATTTTCATTAAAACATTTCTTTTTCAAATGCATTCTTTCTTTTCTATTGAGAACTGACAGATGGCTACACTGGAGAGTAGTATAGACAAGATATTAAATATGACACCTGTGCAGAGGGTTCATAGAAGGATTTTTCCCACAGGGGCACGGCCAGGGCCTTCTAGGGATGACAACCTGCTGAAGGTACACGAAGGAATTGTACTTGTAGAGCCATGTGGTTTCAGCTTGACATGGCTGCCGTAGTCCACTTGTTCTGCAAGGCCTGCACAGTACCTAAGGCTTCCAAGGCTACCTAAAAGACTGCTTTATGGATAATTCTTGAATCTGTACCTTTGCCATCTCATGATGAAGGGGAGCAGGTATCTCTGAGAAGATAGGTTTAGGTTCAGGGGTCTCTCATTTTTTTTTCTTGGTTTTTTTTGAGTCAGGGTCTCACTATGTAGTTGAGACTGACCTGCAACTCACTACATAGCCCAAGCTGGTCTCAAACTCACAACAATCCTCCTGCCTCAGCCTTTCAAGTGCTGGGATTATAGGCATGTGCCACCATGCCCAGCTCTCAGGGGTTTTAAGGATGAAATGAAATCTGTCTTCTTAGCTGTGTTCTGTGCACAAATGTACCTCTCTTTGGAGTTTCAGCCTTGACGTTAAGTAGGCTGGATTTCTATTTCTGTGTTTGATTTGTCCTCTTTCTTAAGGAATTTAGAAAGAAATTCAGCTAGCCAGGGTACAAAGGCGGACTGACTACATAGTGGGCAGGTAGGGTAGGTGCACTTATTTCTGTCCCCAGCTCTTTTCCTGTTGAAAAACTACCATCAGTTCTGGTCACTTGAAGATGTATGAACAGTGATAACTATTTAAAAATTTTTCCACATTTTTATTAATACATTTTGCATTATACAGATTGATGGTTTTCATTTTGGCAGTTGTACATGCACATATTTTCATTAACCCACCCATTTCCTCTACCCTTCCCCCTGTTTTCCTGTTTTCAATGTGTATAATGTATTTTGATCATATTCATGCCCTTTGACTTTATTTAAACCTGGAAGGCATAGAGGATAAACAAAAGAACATTTCACTTATTTCTCTACCTACTGCTGCTGTCTTTGAGAGATTAGATAACATGCATACCTTTTGCCTCTTCTCAGAACAGTGACTTATTCTGATACTGTCAGACTAATCAACAAATCCAATTTTTGTCACAAAACAAAACAAATGTTATTAAAGTCACCTTAAAGAGACACACCTTGATATCTGAGTACCAGGGTTTTGTTTCACAGGTCAAAGCATTTATCATTAATTTAATCCTTTTCTAACAAACATACCTGCATTTCTAACAAACCTACCTTTCTAACAAACATAGCTGAATGTGAAGGCTGAAAAGGCTGAAAAAGGCTGAAAAGGCTGAAAAGGAATGATTTAGTTCTTGGAAAGAAAATTTCCATCTGATGATGAAGGACCTCAATTAATTTTTCTAACCCCTTCCAAAGTATATAGCTATGATAGGGGAATAGTTTTAAGTCCCCTGTGTTATGAAACTTTGATAAATTTTCCAAATTTTTATTTATTCCCCTGTAGCAATTATCTTTTATCAACATTGAAATATGTGTCTTTAAAATTGATAATTTTTCTTTTTTTCCTTGATTATCTTATTGAAGGTCTCTCTAGAGGTCTGTGTGATTATCATCTAAATTTACATTTTAATAACTTGTGCCTGTCATGTGCTTTTGTATTTTTGCTAATTTTTCCCCTTCTTTGAGAAAGACCTTTTTTCATCTTGTTACGATAATTAAACAACACACTTAGGAAACTTTCCCTAACAGCAGCTAGAAATAACAAATGACATGACAGTTGTGGTAGATATGGGGAAGGTCAGATATTGTGATTAAAACATTATATCCTCTCCGTAAGCTTATACCCTGAAGCTCACAGAAAAATAGACATATTCATACTCAGAGTATGAAAGGTAGTAAGGCTTTTACTAGGCTGTAAAGGCTGAAGATGTACAATAATTTCATAAACTTGGGATTATCTGAGTGTATGGGCTGCTATGCCCCTTTTGCTTTAAAATGTCAATAAATCTATCATATAATTCTCAATCAATACTGAAAAAAACCAAAACTACATTATTTTTGGATATATTAGAAAAGCATCATATGTGTCATCTAATTTCTATTCATCTAAATCTTAATGATTCCCAAAATGTACACTAACTTTCCACTATTAACTAAAGGAAGATAAATTTTAGTTCAAAAGGTTCTTCCATTTTATTTTCAGGCAAAGGTATTAAATCCTTCCACTGGCTAGATTGGTTTGAATTAACTTGTGCCTTTCATCCCTGTGTCTTGCCATGTCATCCCTGTTATTTTATCATTTAGACACAAGAATACCTTAGGAGATAGAAGGTATAGGGTGGCAGCAATCCTGTGTAGACAAAGATTTGGAATATGGAGAATTTGGAACGTGTGAAGTAGGTTGGGAGAGATGGTAATAGCTAACACCTAGGGTTCCTACACAAAGCTGAGTAGTGGACTGGGACACTTTCTGTGTATCAGGTACAGGGGCTTCTTCGCTTTCAGCAAGCACTGAGGGTTTCTTGCACTGCCCCTCCACAGAACTACATGGCTACCATGTCCATCATTTACCCATTTTTGGTTTGGAATGCCTGAGCACAGATTGCCTGCTGGTACAGGTGCACTACTGGTATCATAATGATATCGATATCCTAAGGACATAACCTCCATTGACACCAAAATATCTATGCCAGAATTGTCTTTGGAGGTTGAGGAATAGTCAAAGCCATCCATGTCTCCCAATTCAGTGATAATCACTTCCAGACATCAAAGTTCTATTTTGACCATATATGCTTCTATATCTTTGTATCCATACTGTTCAATGATTATTACCAAGCTTCCTGCTTGTGCTATTGACCTTCTGCAGTAATAAAATCTTGGTACCCTCTAGCAACCCTGTTGTATTATAGATTAATTTCCTGAATCTTTAATGTCTTATTACTTAGTGGTATGTTGGTAAATGTTTAATCACTGGCTCTGTTATAAAAACACATATTTTTATATAAGCACATTTTAAAAGTACATTTTATTGTTACAGATAATGTGTAGCACATAGTTTATAAGTAATAATACATAACTTTACTGTAATTCAGTA